GGGAGAGGTGTTGTAATGTGTGAGCAGCCACTGGTCATGAAGGATGAAGAGGAATTTTAGAAAAAGAGAGATGGTGTAAAAAAGGTATTCCAGGCCAAAGGCACAGCAAGGGCAAAACTGGGGAAGCGGAGATAGCTAGGGCTGCTTCTGAAACTGGCACAGAAATTGCCCGCAGCAACCAAAACTCACCTTACAAAGCAACTGTTGTTGTTTTTTTGTTTTAATAAATTTTTATTAGGTAACAGTGTGTTTTTTCCAGGAAACATCATCTCCAAGTCAAGTGGTTGTCCTTCAACCTAGTGTGGAGAGTGCAGCTCAGCTCCAAGTCCTGTTGCCGTTTTCAATCTATTAGTTGCAGGGGGCACAGCCTATCATCCCATGCAGGAATCCAATCGGCAACCCATTAAGAGCACGCGCTCTAACCAACTGAGCCACCCGGTTGCCCCCAAAGCTACTGTTCTTAACAAGGGAAAAAAGAAAGGGTCAGAGGCTTGTTGAGCTTCAAAATTGTAAAAACCAAAAGCTGTTCTTCCTGTACTGCTTTAGAAGTAAGGTTTTTATAGCTATGAGTTTTAAACCTAAACATCACTGGTTAAATTGAGCACGGCACTCAGCTAGATTCTGAAGGTGCAGCAGTAAATAACAGATAGGATTCCTGTACTCATGGAATGTATGTTCTACCAAGAGAGACAGACGTCTCATAATTATTTAGCTCCAGGTGAGCAAGTACAGAGTGTTCTAAAACCATATTTCCAGAGGTCCTGGTTAGTCTGGGGAAGAGCGGAGGGTTAGGGACAGGAAGGCTCCTCTAGGGAGTGATCTTTGTTTTGTAAGATGACTGGAAATTCTAAGTATGAGAACATGATGCTGATTGGCAAGGAGCATTCTTTGCAAAGGGAACAAACTTCCCAAGGAAGAAAGAAGCAGGTGCAATTCCCCGAACATTTCTGAGATAAGGGCAGTGTGACTGAAGCCCCTTGAGAAACACACACACACACACACACACACACACACACACTAATAGTGGCTTATAAATCAAACTTTATTTCCCTTTCATATAAAGGAATTATGGAGGAAAAACTAGGGCTGGTGTATGATTTCATCAGGGATCAAAACTACTACTTTTTACTTCAGCATCTTGCTTGTGGCCATCCTCAAGGTTACCTCATGGTTCAGGACACAGGAACTGCACCAGAAGCACAATAGGGAGGCTCTCGTGCTGAATCCACTCTTTTTCAGCTTTCCTGCAGCAACCACTCAACATACTCTCTCATTTTCTGGAATGCACTCACATGACCAAACCTGCATACAAGGGCCGCTGGAAGATGCAATCTTTTATCCCTGACAGCAATGTGTCCAACTAGACATCAGGGCTCTGTTATTAAAGAATACATATTAGAGTATGGATTTGGTAGTTTCTACCACAGTGATCTGCCCTGTCATGGGCTTTTTGTTCTCTAGTGGGGCCCTATCTCAGCATGTGGTCATAGAGAAACCTGGGAGTTGATTTCACCAGGGTTGGGGTTTTATCAGAATAGTATAAAAGTGCTAAAAAGCAAGAGTGTAGAGCTGTCTTGAGAGAGTGGCTAAAATTATGAACTACGGATTCTAAACTAGGTTTGGGAGAAGAGTGAGGGCAAGAGGAAGCTGATGGGTGGAGAGAAAGTAGAGACTTTAATGGTCTGGAAACCCCGATGCAGTGGAAGAACGTTTTTTATGCAAGAAATTGCAGGGGCAAGCTTGAACAGTAGGAGATCATGGTGGACAGGGAGAAGTTAGGCTGTGGACAGAGAGCTGCTAATCATGGTTCTAAAGAGAAGAAAAGGGACAACAACAATGAAGCTCAAGTGAAGATCGTGGAGTCATAAGACTCCACTAACCCTCTTTTCTGTTTCTCTCTTCTGCCCATCTACTTTCTATTTCTATGAGCCTGCATCTGTAGTATTTCAAACTGAGGGTGTGTTGGACACATCTCGTGCCCTACCTCACATCCTTTGGCCCACCTTTAACTCCAGCTATTTCTGCAACAGTCAGGTGTGACCTGACAGCAGTGTATTGTGTCTCAAAATCATTAGGAATCTCTCATGCTCTTCTGATATGCTGAGCACTCACAGATAGGCAAACCTAAAAAGGGGTGAGAAAGTGAACACCCCTGGGGCCAATCCTTGACCACTGGGAACTAGGATCTGATAAATAAATTCTCCCTCTCATCTCTCTTAGAGTGGACAATTCCGAGGAACATTCTACTCAGCTCTCCAGAGGGTCCTAGTAGGACTGATCCCCAGGTGCCCATAACAGTGATCAGCTTGATAACACTTTTTTTTAAGTGTGCTAACAGGCAACATAAAATTTACCATTTTAACAATTTTACAGTGTATAATTCAGTGGCATCTAGTACATTCAGTTGTGAAACCATTACCACTACCTCGTTTGGTTTTTCATCACTCCCCCCAAAAAAACTCATACCCATGAAACCACCATTCTCCATTTCTCCCTTTCCCAACCCCTGGCAACCAGAAATCCATTTTATGTCTCTATGACTTTGTCTATTCTAGCTATTTCATATAAATGGAATCATACAATATATACCCTGTTGTGACTGGATTCTTTTACTTAGCATATGTTTTTGAGATTCATCCATGTATCAGTACCTATTTCCTTTTTATGGCTGCATAACATAGCATTGTTTTGTTTATTCATCAGCTGATGAACATTTAGGTTGTTTTCACCTTTGGCTATTGTGAGTGGTGCTGCTATGAATTATAGGAACATTTTTATATTGGCTTTTCCTCCTTCCCTGTCAGCGTGGTGTATAGAATGGTGTGGGGAGAATATGGAAGTAGTGTGGTCACTGCAGTAGTACAGGTAGAAAGGGGTCATCGGAGATCTGGACAAAGGCAGCAGGGATAGAAAGAAGGGACTGGATTTGAGAAACACACAGAATTAGAATCAGCTGGATTTGGTGACAGTGTGAGAGAGACAGGAACCTGATGGAGAGGGGAGAGAAATAATTATACAAGATTTTTAACTTAATTTTTTCAATTGTTGCCATTTATAGAGTCCGAACATTTGATAATTTTGACAGCTAGTATATTCATAACTACTATACTAGTAAATCTCACTAAATCTAACCACCTGTGGGGACAAGATTTTATGAGTTCTTAGGAGCAGGGCCACCCTTGAATTTGCAGGGCCACCCTTGGGTTTGCAGGTCCTGTGGACAATTTTTTTTGTAGGGTTCCTGTCTAAATAAAATTTTAAGTCACCCTAAGTCAGCATGTGAACGCCATTCTGGCAGCTCAATCTTGCAAGATCCCTCAAAGAAATGTTGGGAGCTGACTGGGAACAGTCAGGGATACTGAGGCTGCAGTGGGTAGCTGCAAGCCTCTATATCTGGGTGAGCAGCTGAAAAGGAGTGTCTGCCTGGCAACTGCTTACGGAGTGGCTCAAAGACCCCCAGAAGAGAAACAACGCTCCGGGATTTTCCACAGATGCTTTGGGACTTCCCACCATGGACTTATTGACAGTTTCTATCTGCCTCCGTTTAACCTTGCTTAGAAATATCATTGGTTTATGCTGTGCTTGATGTAACTTGTTGTTAGGAGAAATTGTTTCTCCAGACACCCTTAACCTTTTGCTTTAGGGAATTGCTCCCTATGCTTTAGGGAATTGTTCCCTTGATTATTCAGGGCATTGGTCCCTGCAAAGAGGAATTGCTTCCTATATAAGCACTGTGCTCACAGTAAACTTGGTCACTGCTCCACTACTTGTGGACAGTGAACCTCCCGTTCCCAGCTTTGTTTCTGTCTCTTTCTTTCTGTCACTTTCGTTTCTTGGAGTCCTCGCTCCAATCCTCTCAAGGTAGGACCCTGGCTGAGGAGACTCCCTCCGGCAGGCACACGGGTCGCGCCTAAGAAATATCACATTGGCCAATGGGAGTGACCTATCCATCAGGATACCCCATTGGAACCTGGTCCTGGCCAGAGTGCCCAAGGGTGACCACATAAATGTGAGTCTGGGAGCTTCTCATGGCATCTTCTTTAGCTGACTGGGTGCAGTCCACACTGAGTTTCTGTGACTACGTTTCAGTCATGGCCCGAAGCTTGCTCTGATCTCTGATACAGAGCACCCCTCCCTGGTTTGCATTTGATGGTCCCATGGCTCCTAAACTCCTGTTACAGGCCCAAGGACTCCACCTGTGCCTGACAATTCCCTACCTGTTATTTGGGGAAGGTGCAGCTCACCTGTGGCATGAACTCACACAACTCCCTGAACAACTTTTAAACCAGAAGAAGAGCCGTCAGGCTAGGTGTTGGAAGGTTTATTTAGAACCTGACAGGAAAGCAGGTTAAGATCATTCTGTGTCAGTCTGCGGTGATGTTAATGATTATTCTGGTTTGGATTCTTATTGGTTGGAACAGACTTTGGGCAAAAATCATTAAAGTGAGGTGTGGCTGTTTTCTAATCTTGGCTGATGAAACCCTGCACCTAGGCAAGGGGCCAGGCCAGAATTTAAGGACGGCTACGTGGCTAAGCCATTATTTCAACACTTTCACCAGAAGCCCTGACTAAGAGACGGCTTCATCTCCTGAGAGGTGTTTGCTAGGGATCAAGTAAGAGTTTTACTACTTTCCAGACATCTTGGTCTCCCTCTCTTGAGCCCCCATCTTTTCTCCTGACCCATTACTTATGACCCCCATAAATATCTACAAATGAGTCAATAAAATAGACCTCCTGTGAAGGTAGCAACTCAGGATTTTCATTAGAGGGAGGGGAAAGGGAAGCCCCACTTCCTTGCAAACACAACATCCTGAAAATGAGCATCAAGAGTGTTTAAGAAGGAGACGAGCTGTCCTGGGGTGTCCTGTGACTTCAGCAACACCTCAGGGCTAGGCAGGTGAGGTGCTGAGTGTAACCATTAATCAATGTTTCAAGGTTCAAAAGAGCAGCTGTTTCTACTTGGACCAGAGAATTACAGTCCCCCTGAAAATGACACTTACCTGTGATCATGATGAAGGAGTAATGAAGATGCCCCCCAGAGGGATCTAATATCAGGACAGATATCATTTCTTCTATGTGGGTGTTTATTTCAGGATCTGAAAGTTAGTACCCACTCTTAACTTTTAGCCTATAGCAAATGAGGTTACAGATATGAAATAAGGCGCTAAAGGAAGTCTGGTTTCTAAGGCACTTGACATAAAAGTAGCAGAATTTCTGTATGAGAGAATGACTTCCAGATTAACTCATTCCACAGCATTAGTCCCCAAACTTGGCCATCCCAGTTAGTTTTTAAGTTACAATGTTTACATTGAGCTCCTGGGGTGGCTGCCTGCACTACATCAGCTCCAGGAAATGCCACACATTTCTATCATGGTTTCGTGCTTGGTTGGTTATTCTGGACAAAAGGACAATGTCCCTCAACGGCGTGTATTCAGCTGCTGTCCAATGCCTTGGTTATTTGACTTCAGTGTGGCATGAAATCCTGAGCCTGTAAAAGTAGTAGAGACAGAGAAGGGTTATGTAAGGCTTAGGTCTCAAAGTCAACAAAAATTAGTTTCAGGTTGCTGGGCTGACAATGCAGGGAATTTGGGCATTTCAGAGGCAGGGTTGATGCTGCCTGTATGGCCAGTCTGACCAGCAGCACATTCTCAAAGGTACTTCCCTCAAGTACCAACTTGACTGTTCCAGATTGGGTCTATAAAATGTCAAGGCATTTTGTCATGGTAGTTAGTTGTTCTTACAAGGCAGATTAGTGCAGAGTTACAGGATTCGGTCCAAGCCTTGGTGCTACCTTGAGACTGGATTGCTACAGGATTCTCAAACCTGAATTTGAATCCTGCCTCTACGATTGGCCTGTGCCCATGAACAAATTACAAATCTTGTCTAAGCCTCAGTATTCTCATCTTCAAAGGGGACAAAATAACTGTGAAGATTACAGGAGATAATGGTTGAAAGCACTTGGCCCAGTTCTGGGCACAGAGTCAGCTCTCAATAAATAGAAGCAATTATGACTATTTTGAAAGCATATATCTGCTCAATTAGGACCTTTCTCTTTTGTCGGCCTTCCTTATTTTTGATGAAGGAGCTCTTGGCTACAGAAGTTAACCAGGTGGTAATGAACTTTATTACCTTTCATCCCATTTCATTTCTGGGTAGTTCACCCACTGTCTTAATGTGCTTACCTGTGGTGATTACCTCAGCAAATGACTCAGTTCTTTTTTTGGTAATGAGAAGGCAGGGCTATGGGTTGTTGACACTGTATTTGATACAATAAATAAGGAAGGATAAAGGTGTTTTTGAGAACAAGGCTTGGTCCAGCAACTGGAAATTGTTGAGTCTCGCAAACAGCTTGAGTTACCAGAAACGTTTTCTGCTGAATGCAGAACAATACAGAACTTATGTTCTCTAGATTTCTAAATTCACCTGCCATTTGATTGAGTGAATATCCCCAATGTCAGGAAGTGATAATATGTAATTAAAAAAAATTACTTATCATAGTATAAATGCAACAGAGAGGATTCAAGTTAACAAATGTGTGTCTTCAAAATTCAAAGATTGGCTTCACTATCTTCTCCCCATTAACTACAAGTTTAAATTTACAGATTGGGCCTAAAAACCTCACTTGTGTCCTATTAAATCCCATGCTAGCCCTCACAAAACTGATCTGTGTATGGCATATTGACATACTCAACATATCCCAAAGTCAATTCATTTTCCCCCTAAACTGCTTCTCCTTCCCAACTACCCATTTCTGTCAATGGCTTTACCGTCTTCTAATCTCCAAACCTAGAGATCTTAGTGTGATCTCTGGTTCTTCCACCACCTATCCCCTCTTGTCAGGAGTCATATGGTCCTGTTGCTTCAACATGGTCAAGCGGATTGGCTAAGATCCTGAGCTCCAACATTAGACCTTCCTGGGTTTGATGCCTGGCTTTACCACTTAAAGCTGTATGACATTAGGCCTATCATTTAAACACTCTGTGCCTCAATTGCTTCATCTTTAAAATAGGAAAAATAACAGTCAATTTCTCATAGAGTTGCTGTGATAATTAAGTGATATAATGTGCCAGCACACAGTAAGTACTTGATACAGTTCTGCTACTGATTTTATTATTATTACAAATAGTCTAGGATGGTTTTTTTTTTCTCTCTCTATTTTTAGTGTATCTACTCCATTTTAAACTCTTATCACTTTTGGTCTAGTTTACAGATACTGGTGTCTAATTTTATCCTGCTTCCAGATTTCCCTGTTCTGACCCTGTCCTGTGGAGCTGTCAGACTGGTCTTCCTTAAACACCATGTAATTCTCCAGCTCAGAATCCACAATGGTTCCCTAACACCTCTTTCTTCCAATCCACACTTTTCTGGGCAGCTTCCAAGGCCCTCAAGAATTCACCCTGCTCAGTGTCTGGCCAGGTGTAGTGCGGTGACTGAGGACGCAAGCTCTTATGCACCACCATTTCCTAACTGTGTAACCTTAAGTAACTGTGTGTCAGGGGATGAGGCATTCTGGCTTCATGAAAAAGCTGCTAATGAAGTATACGTACACATTATGTATAATAAATATTAATGTAGAAAGAAATGAAAATCAGAAAAAAAAAAACACACCAGATAATGGGTTTGAGTGAAAGTGGCTCTGGGAGGGTCTCTGGGAGCCTAACGCAGCCAGACGTGGGCCATCTCATGTATGCTTTTCCCCCTTTATTCTTCAAGCTAGAATTTGTGTTTCCAGTTCAGCCATTTTTATTTGCCAGTCCTATTCCTGTGTTTGGTCTGGTTATTAACAGAGGAAAAGGAAAAAGTGAGTGAATATAGATGATGAGGAGGGAGGTTATAAAATAGAATTTTGAGTAAGTGGCTCTCCATTTGGATGTCTAACAGGCAACCCAAAGTCAATATATCCAACTTGAACTCCTGACCCACGCCCACAAATTTGCAGGAACTGTAGTCTCCTCCATCTCAGTTAGTTACCCTAGACAGAAAGAATAGGGCCGAAGGGAGAGAGGGGGGAGGAAGGGAAGGAGGAAGTGCAGGAAAACAAAGGAGGGAGAGGATGAGATCATTCTTAAGAAAAGGCGCAGCTACCAGCCCGACCAGAACTTGATTTCAGTTCCCGATAGCCGACTCGGGATGCCATCTTACCCCTCAAGGTGAGCTCATTATAATGGATTATAATATTATTAGCATTATAGGGAGGGAAAATCTCCACTCCCTGTGTCGCCATGACAGTTCTGACCAGGGCCAAATAAGGACAAAAACCACTCCTCATGATGGGAAGGAGTGGTGAACAAAGACCTGCCTGGGAATGCTTATAACACCACTTCTAAATCTTGAATATTTCACAGCCTCATTTCGAAAATAAATTCCCAAGCTCCAACCCTTTTCAGTGCAGTGGCTATTTTCCCAGCCTGCCCACTCCCACCACTCTGGGAGTGCATTGTCCCATCCCCTTTCTTTCAATAAATTCACTGCTTGCTCTCCTTATTCGGTATGCATTTTAATTCTTTCCTGTGGCAGAACCAAGAACCCATCCTCAAGCAACAAGTTGATGGCAGTTTCCAGTTGCTTAGGCCTAAAGTCATGAAGCCCATCCTTCGTTCCTCTCTTTCTGTCACATCCCATACCCAGTCCATTAGGAAATTCTGTTGGCTCTTTCTTCGGAATATACTCTACATCCCACCATTTTTCATCATCCCAGTTGAATCCACATCAGCTCTCATCTTGATAACTGCAACAGCCTTCCAACAAATCTCCCTGCTTTAACTCTTGGCCTCCTACAAGCTATTCTCCTCACAATGTCCAGAGGGATCCTTTAAAAATATGTCAAATAATATCACCCAAAACCATGCACAGCTTCCCTTTTCCCCCAGATTAAAAGCCAAAATTCTTACAGTGAATTGTTTTAGGAGCTTTGCTCTTTCCATTCCTTCTGCCTGAAATACTCATTCCCCAATAACCTACTTAGCCAACTCTGTCACCTCTCAAGTCTTTGCTAAATTTTCACCACTCAGTGTAAGTGACTCCACCATATATAGTATTGTGATTTGCTACTGTCACCCCCATTCACTCCTGATCCCCTTTACCCTACTCTACTTTTTCTTTTTTCCACAGTCCTTATTACTTCTAATATAATATATAATGTATTTATGATATTTGTTTAATTTCTTTTGCTAGGCTGCAGGGATTATTTGGTTCACTGATATATCCTTAGAACACTTAAGTGTCCAATGGATGAATGAATGAATGAATGAATGAATAAGTGGATATTGTTAATTGAAAGCTCCACTTGACTTTATTCAAATTTCCCATTCTTAACATATCTCAGAAGCTAGTATTGAGAAACTGTAGAATGAGTCACATGTTCTTAATTCTAAGGACTGAATAAAAAAGGAAAACAAAAGTTTCCCTATAGCATGACCTTTGAGAGAGGAAAGGCTAATCTTTTAACATTTTAATGTATTTTCTTATTGTCCTTTAAGTTTTAAATGAATAAAGTTTTCAGATTTTCTGAATTTTGTTTGTATATATGTGCTCTTTAAGGTCTTTTCTGCCACTAAGATTATAAAATTATAAAAGAGACCTTTATATTTCTCCTAATGCTCATATAATTTAGTATTGCTTTGTTTGTTAAGTTTAGGTCTAGCCTTTAATTCATCTGTAATTTAAGCTTGTGATTTGCGAGAGGTAGGAAGCAAATATCATTTTTCACAAATGATTAGCCACCTGGTCTCAAATCATATACTAAACAGTCCATCTAGCCTTTCCTGGATAATTTGAAATGTCACCTTTTTTTTTTTTTTTTTTTTTTTAGCTGAGCCATCCTGCTACCTATTGGCAGCTTGGGCTGGGACTCAAACCGCTGTTGCTCAGAGCTCAAACTCTTGAGCGAGCTCTTAACCAACTGAGCCACTCGGCCGGCCCAGAAATGTCACCTTATCATACAGTCTGTTCTTGAATTCTTTGTTTCTTCAATCTATTTGTCTATCTGGCACCAATATCAAACTATTTTT